TTTTTATAAAAAAAAATAAAAAAAAGTAGTTAGTTGTTTCTTCTTAGTTGAAGAAACACTCAAATATAAGCAAGAAATGAACAAATATGATTTTATGATAATTAAAAAGTAGGTTGAGTCCAAATCGGGGTTATTTTAGTATCAATAATTTAAGAAATTATTATAGATTTTATTAATATTTTCAATTATATTTTATGCTAACACTTTAAAGGTCTCATTTGTTAATGCATTATATACTAACAATGAGCAATACATCTGTTACAGTATTTATTAATATTTGTTAATGTTAGTTAAAAATACAGTCGTTCATTGTTTGTTTGTTAGTTCACAGTGCATTAATTAATGTTAACCAATACAACTTTTGATTTTAATAACGTATTAGCAAATGTTGAAAATAACATTAAGATTATTAAATGCTGTAGAAATGCAGTTCACTCTTAGTTCATGTTAACTAAAGTAGTTCACTAATATGGTAAAGTGTTACTGATTTTATGTTTGATGTTTATATTTTCCGTTTTCATTTTAAGTTCATTTAATGTTTTAGTACTTTTTTTTTTTTTTTTGTAGGTAGGCTACATAAAGATAAAATAATTTAAAATATGAAATGTTGACTTGGCAAACTTATATTTGATTTATTATTGTTTATTTTATTTCAAGTAAAGCACATGTTTTCAGCTTTAGCTTCAGCCCTGGTCCAGATATCTTCTTCAGGGTTGGACTGCTTTATGCTTCCAGTCGTGATTGATCCGTGATTTGCACAAGTGTCATGTTATTGACAGGAAGACAGACTGCGAGTGTGTTTCCACGCCAGGGCAGATCCAGCAGTTCACTCCATCACCCTGTAGAAATTGCTTGCTGGGATATAACAATAACAGCATGTTATTTTTATCCTCAGTGTAGATCAATGGTAATGTAAAGAGGACTGCGGATGATGGATGAACTTCACTGGGTTTTTAAGCTCTCGCAGAGATTCGGCTTTACAGGGCCCTTCGGTTTCTGCATGCACAGATATGCTCAACTGCGATACGGCTTTTATAATAGGAGAAATACATGACATGCACATCTACAAACGAGTCTGCAAAGCCAATCTTTCATAGCATGGCACACTGGAGATCTGAATGTCATATCAAAGCAGTGGCACTCAAAATAATATGTGAAATCTTCAGTGATAAAACACACAATATACAGTACAATAGCAGCCAAAAGTTCAATTAGACCATCAAATTATGAGGACAATCTTTAGTCAGTTATTAATATTTTGTTGGTTATCTCTTGTTTTTGCATTTGATTATAATTTCTTTGGCCAAAAATGATGTCCACAATTGACTCCAAGCACAACTTCACAATTTGATAATAATTTAAACACAATTTTTATCATATTTGAATAAAGGGTGAAGAACTTCTTTTGGCCACTGCTGTATCTAGTCCTCCGTCCCCATTGAGCAGCACTGGATTCATAAATCACATCTCAGTTGCAAGGATACATCATTCGCTCTTTGTCAGATGTGGTTATAACTCTTCGTAGCTTGTGTGTTGAGGTTATGAAACTGATGATACAGTGAGGTGCAGGGCTGATGTCCGAACACGAGGAGATAAATCTGTCTCACAACACTGAGATCAATCTGACCTGCTATTGTGGTCACTACAGCTGCTCTGATGGCTTGATAAAAGTCTTGTTTCATTTACCTGAGATGATAAACAAAAGCAGACCTATAGCAAAGCAATTAAATAGCAATTTTGCAATGCCAATTTAGTATGAAATCAGTTACACTGTGTAACTTTTGACCCTCTAGCGGTTCAAAACCGAAACTAGGCTAAATACATTTTGCGGAAGAGTATTGTTTTGGTCGTGCTTCGGCTCTGCGTGACTGTGGATGAATATGAGCCTTCACAATAGATAATGCTTTACAATTACCTGTTAGAGAGCTACATATGGCGATTTATCTGTTCGATAAAATACCCTTCTCACCTGTTGAGCAATAAAAACGCCATCTCCACCTTGCTTTTAAAGCATTTCAAATCCCTCAGTGTTTCTGAAAAGCCAAGCCAAGGTTGATTCTGGTTGTATTACTAGCTCTGTCTCGTTCTCCTTTGCCAGCAGACTCTCCTCTGATCGGCGTTTGTTTAAAACGGATGATTCCCCGGAGGTTGGAGATTTAGCGGCTCCATGTCAATCTTTCTCACTCGTTGCAACTCAAACTCCAGACAGAGGCAAAGCAGCCGGAGCAACTTTTCTCTGTTTACGGATATGACGCATGGGCGAGGGACGTATGTACGCAATTTCCCGTGAAAACCACCCCGACACAGGTCTAAAATATAGGCCTACTTACAATAGTCTTACCATAGTAAATCAGGGTCAGAAAAAAACAGCCTACGATTTAGAAGAAGCTGATTGATGATGTATTGATTCATTTGTCGATTAAAAAAGTTACAGTGTACCTTTGTAAATGTTCTGTGTTAGGCCTATACCTCATATGGAGAGCATTTGGGACGAATAGCTCAAAAATAATTTAAATTCGTCTCTCAGTTTGAAAAACAAGCCAAAACCTTAGTGTTGGTGGTATACACTTGGAAGTCAAATGATGTTTAAGGGGCATAAATACATTCAAATACACATTGTTTTGAAAGAATAACCACAATATTTAGCCTGTTTAACGTGATGACATGAGGCCATAAAATCTGAGATTTTTTACAATTCAAATAACACATATTTTGTACATAAAAATGAATAGAGAATGATAAGGAAATAAGTGCTTTTGCTTTTAAATTCGAGCTGTACATTTGTGCTTCTACACTCTCCAAAATATAGACTTCCATTGTAAGTGCACTACTACACGTTTTTGTTTGTGATAAACGGATCAAAATGATTGTTTTAAATGTATAAAAAATGTACATAAATTAGCATATGCATTTAATAATTTGAATTATGCTCCAATTATTGTTTGTGATTACAATAGTCTCTCTAGTGTTCTCACTCACCGCACAGCAGCAGTTTAGCCCTAATGAACCACTGCCAGGTTTCAAAACCTTAATTATAAAGGCAGAAATCATGACAGCGTACAAGTTCAGGCCCAATATTCAGAGCTCTCTGACCTCACGATGGCATATGAGGCAATTACAGCCGTTTCAGAACAATTGAGATATTTCACCAAAGAGAACAGTTCCATTAAATGCAGTTCCACACATTTCCCAGCCAGAAACATGCAAATGCTCATGTACTGACAGCAGAAACATCTAAAACATGTGCTGTAGTGAGCAGGTCATTATAAGCTGCTCAAATCCACAGTCAGATGCGATTAAGAAAGTAGGAATTCAGCGTCTGTCTCTGGAGAGAAACAGGCCTGTGCAAAGGCCACACAAGACATTTCATTAAATGAATTCTGTGCATGATCAAACTTACGTAACTGTATTTTACAGTCTATAATTAATAGAATGGGTGTATTATGTACACAAGCAACTTTCTGTTATGATTTGTGAGGAACAGCTTTACTATTTTATTTGCATCAGCGTCTGCCTAAATGAATCTGTTTTAGTGTCTTTAAATCAGTGCTGGAGTCTGACTGTACAATACTGACATCTAGTGGAGAATACAGGCCAACACCTGCAGAAAAATACAATGGATTTTATCACTTCTAGGTTATATTATTAAAACATCTATCTATCCATCCTAAAATGTACTAAAATAACAAAAATAAAAATGAATAAACACTATATAGATATTTTAAAAAAAAACACAACAACATTACCAAAACTTTAACTAAAATTAAAAGGAAATCATTCAAAATATGAATAAAAACTATATTCATATTTCAATCATTCTAAAATAAAGCTGATTTAAACCTTGAGTTTATCTCTCTTTCACCATCCAAATAAATCAACGGAAGACCTGTAGAGTTGAAAGCATCTTTACTGTTGTCATGGTAACAGTGACATCAGTGAGGCGTTCTCGGGTCAGGAGGAGATCTGAGTGAATGCACTGAAGATCAGATCTCCTCTTCCCGCTTCAGATCCAGCTCAGCTGCCGGAGAGCATTTCCTGAGGGATCGTCACTGTGCCGCCTCACAATCACAACACAAACCCAAACCCGTCCTGGTGAACAGCGTTGCTCACAATCCCAACCCAAACCCAAACCCAAACCCGTCCTGGTGAACAGCGTTTCTCACAACCACAACACAAACCCAAATCCAAACCCGTCCTGGTGAACAGCGTTTCTCACGACAGGCTTCGGGAATTCTGAGTTCTGTGCGGAATTTAGATCCAATTTGATAAGAATGTGGAACAATGTCAATCTCATGAAACAATAAAATTACATCCCAGCTCATTTTTCACCCCAAAAAACTAAAGAAAATAATATTTAATTTTAAAAAGAAAATTAAGCCTATTTTAGGACTATTACTTTTTTTTCATGACAGTTACACACACCCTGTTCTGTAAAAATTATATGATCAATAAGTTATGACAACATACTTTTTTTTTTACATTGCTTTAACTCATCGAAATAAGTTAAGCAATTTTCAACTTTTTTTATAAGTTCTACAAGGCAACTCCTTTTTAAAGTCAGTTTAATGTAATTTCAGTTGAAATGACTTAAACATCAAGTTGAGTGTACTTAAAAATTTAAGGCAGCAACTTTTTTTACAGTGTGCCAAATAGTTATTCAAGTTTTTTTTTTTTTTTTTTTTTTTTTTTACTGGCATAAATTAAAGACAGTATAACAATGATAAAGTGTCCATTCTTTACCATTTTCAGTAATGTATATTTTTTTGGATTTACAATAAAGAGAGTTTGGGGGGAAAATGTTCTTAATTGTCATGAAAATGATGTCAGAATGCACAAAATAATAATGATCCTAAAATAAAATAAAAACTGATTTTGAAGTGAAATATGTTCGAGACATTTTCATGACAAGTTTCATGAGATTCACGTCTAGAAGTCTGAATGGATCTAGGTAAGTGGAAGATGTTGAATCTGAATGAATCCAGACAGACAGTGGCCGCCTAGCTGGAATCATAATCATATGCTGGTTATGAATGTGTTATGATGATGAATGTCTTCCCTGCAGAAGCGCTGTAATGTCCCGCTCCACCTCTTCAAATGGACAATGAAGATCATACCTGAAATAGACCATTCAGATGTTACAGATGATTCTGTATTTGTTCATATTATATTGCTCTGTGAAATACTTGATTCTGATTGGTCATAGTGAACATTAAACTGTAGTTTCATGTCTCTCGTAATACACACTCTCGGTCTTCATTTATTTGGGACATGACATGGAAATCACACTGAATTTGTGAGCATATCTCGGTACCGTTTGTAAGGAACTCCGTCTGCAGTGATGAGAAACTTCTCGAAGTTCCATCGGATGTCGTTGACTTTAATGGGAGACCAGTAGAGCTTCCTGATGTCTCCGATCACAGGGTTGACAAACGGAAGAGTTTCCTGGAAGAACAAAGTCACTGTAACTGTGCTAGAACTTAATTACTCTGGCTTAACCTGTAACTTATTAGCAACAGTAATTTATGAATTTGCTAGAAGAATAGTCATGAGGCGTCTTCTGACCTTTATTTTGAAATAGCGATGCAGACGAAAAATCATGAAGATAACGTCCAGTAAATTTTCCAATTAATTAATTTTAATAGAGCTGAATAGTGCTTAATATGGAAGCTTGTTTCCGCCCCTGAGTAAAATAAATAAATGATTTTACATAAATAAATGCAAATCATAAATAAATGAATGCAAATTGCAACTTTTTATCGCGCAATTGTGAGAAAAAAAGTCAGAATTGCGAGATATAAAGTCGCAATTCTGAGAAATAAAGTCGTAATTGTGAGATATAAAGTCGCAATTGCGAGAAAAAAAAAGAATTGTGACAAGAAAAAGATACAATTGCGACTTTATTTCTCGCAATTGCGACTTTATTTCTCACAATTGCGAGTTTACATCTCACAATTCTGAATTCATATCGCGCAATTGTGAGAAAAAAAGTCAGAATTGCGAGATGTAAACTCGCAATTGTGAGAAATAAAGTCGCAATTATGAGAAATAAAGTCGTAATTGTGAGATATAAAGTCGCAATTATGAGAATTAAAGTCGCAATTGCGAGAAAAAAAGACAGAATTGCGACTTTTTATCTCACAATTTTGACTTTATTTCTCACAAAAAAAGTCAGAATTGCGAGATGTAAACTCGCAATTGTGAGAAAAAAAAGTCAGAATTGTGAGATAAAAAGTCGCAATTCTGTCTTTTTTTCTCACAATTGCAACTTTATTTCTCAGAATTATGACTTTATATCTCGCAATTGCGACTTTATTTCTCACAATTCTGACTTCATATCTCGCAATTGTGAGATAAAAAGTCGCAATTATTTATTTATTTATTTTATTCAGTGGCGAAAACAAGCTTCCATACAATTGCGAGTTATCAGGCCAATTCTAAGGGGAAAAAAAGACTAACTTTTGTCCCCTCAGAATAGTTTATATCTCACAATATTCTGACTTTACAACACGCAATTGCGACTTTATATCAATCAAGTCTGACTTTATATCTTGCAATTCTGACTTTACAACACGCAATTGCGACTTTATATCACGCAATTCTGACTTTATATCTCGCAATTCTGACTTTACAACACGCAATTGCGACTTTATATCACGCAATTCTGACTTTATATCTCGCAATTCTGACTTTACAACACGCAATTGCGACGATATATCACGCAATTCTGACTTTATAACACGCAATTACGACTTTATATCATGCAATTCTGACTTTAAATCTCGCAATTCTGACAAAATAAAGTCAGAATTGTGAAATAAAAAGTCGCAATTACCTTTTTTATTTTTCATTCGGTGGCGGAAACAAGCTTCCATAGGCTTCAGGAACCCTCTCAGATCTACTGATAAACTCATTTATGTGACTGCTTTGTTAGATAAAAAAAAAAAAAAAAAAAAAAAATTGTGGGGAAGAAATGTCTATAATTGTGATGAAAATCATGTCAAAAAGTCTCAAAATAGACTTTATTTTTATTCCCCATATGCTGCAGAGTTGCTCTGCATTGAGAGAGCTGAATCATACCTTCAGGAAGGCGTATAGAGGGTGTTCATCTGCGCCGTTCACCTCAATCCTGCTGAACACGGGGAACTGTGGGAGGAAACCTGCTCCTGGTCTCACAAACTGCAGGACATTCAGGATCTCATGGTTCTCTTCTGGGAAGAGCAAAGGGGAAAGAAACTCTTACTGACCCTAAACTTTAAAACAGTGTTGAATTCAAAAAGGATTATCTTTCAGGTCTTTGAACTAGAATGTTCAAACCCAGATTGTACAACTTGGCCCAGTCTCCCTTATTTAATAAACATCCAATGCTTTCTGACATCTGTCCAGTGAACACGAGCCAGTGATGCGCAGGTCTTACCAGGAGCCTGAAGGCCAAACTGATTGCAGGGGAATCCAAGCACAGTGAAGTTCAGTCCTCCATACATGTCCATGAGTGCATTCATCCTGTGATACTGCATCAGCATTGGTTTCAGTTACCGGTATGATCATTTACATACATACATTTTTATTAATTAATTAATGTGCAAATAAGTTAAATATTTTTTGATTGACAGCTGGATCACATTCAATTAAAACATTTGCTGTAAATGGTTGTAAACAATTCATGTATATAATAATAGTCTCAGAAAAAAAGGTACGAAAGCTGTCACTGGGGCTGTACTTTTCAAAAGGTACACTTTTGTACCTAAAGGGTGCATATTGGTACCTTAATGGTACCTTAATTACACAAAAGTGTACCTTTTGAAAAGATACAGCCCCAGTGACAGCTTTCGTACCTTTTTTTTCTGAGAGTTATATAGCACCTTTCCCGAGCCCAAGGATGCTTCACAACATTTATACAGTCATACAATGAATCAACCAGACAATCATATGGACAATGGACATTTGCCCAGTCCAGAACAAGAGCCGATGCAGATGCATAGCGGTTATGTCAATGAGACATTATCATAATACAAATCCATATCAAGACATTCAAATCCATAACAAAGAACACACAATGTAGGCAGCATAGAAAGCTAGACCATGAGCATACAATACATTGTAGGCTATAGGCTATGCCGTGTGTGTGTGTGTGTGTGTGTGTGTGTGTGTGTGTGTGTGTAACCTACTCATTACAAATGCATGAAATGATTTATTAAAACTGTTACTTAACAAAGGAAAACTCAGATACCTCTTCGACGGTGGACCCTCAGAAGGTCGCCACGTTCACGATGAGAAGGACTTTTCCTCTGAAGATGTTGAGTGGGGCGGCCTTTCCCTCCAGGGTCTCCATGGTGAAGTCATACACTGAATTTGCAGCCATATTTGCTGTAGACTCTCAGTTCCTGTGCACTGGTGTATCAGTGATGGTACACACTAACCTCTGGCTCTCGGCTGCGGTTCATTCAGAGCTCTGTATCTCTTGGCTCAGCAGAGGTTCTGCATGAATGACTCTTTTGTTTTTGAGCTCTTCGTGTGTTTTTTTCTCGTTTTTTGTCCAAGGTTTGCAAAGGCATGCTGACCCTGATGGTCATGTGATGTTCTCATTTCAAAGGCCAGGTGATTGTTAGTGTCATTGACCAACAGAAGTCGCAGCATCAGCCGATCAATCAGGTGTATATGTTTCTTATAGGACCCTAGAAATAATCTTAATTATAAATGACTGCCATATAAATAAAACAAACAAAATGCATGCATTTACTAAAGGTTGTTGGTAGCCTATCATATAAATAAATTAGCATATGCTTGTTTTTTTAGTAGCCTAAATTATCTCATGTGGATGTTTGAAGACCTGTCGCTTGGTTCGTTGGTACTATAGGCTTTCTATAAAGATGTCATTCTTGTGTATCTGTCTGTTTGCCTGTCTATCGATCGGTCGTTCTGTTATTTTATGTCTGTCTATCTATACGTGCACTGCACACATTAAAACAGTTTTTTATGTTTTGTGATGTATGACGCTCGCTGGTCATCCAGGCCGTTAGATGGCAGCAGTGAGTCACCGGCGTCCCGTTGAATCCGCATCATCCTGTCCAGAAGAACCCGGAGGAGCCGGTCAGCTGTTTATCGATCATGATAAATAATGTGCGTGGATCAAAGGACAGTATCAGCATGGATCAAAAACATGACGAACGCATGCAAAGCCACAGGTATATTTTATAAAGAGTGATCCAGGTGTGCGTGTATTTAGAGAAACACGCGCGTTCCTTTGACTAGCATGCGCACGCACAAACAGACGTTTGCATTCAGAAAGCCATCCATGCAAACAGCAGCAGAACATCTGTACTCTCCATATAAACATCATTTTCTAGGAGACAGTGGCTGCACTGGTTTGCACGCATTTATGCATGTTGAAAACAGGAAGCATTTGAATTGTGTAATCAGTCTTTTATTAGTTGACATGTTCATATCAACATTATGTCTGTTAAACTGTGTTGTTTTGTGCGCGTGAATGTTGTTGATGCACGCCTGACGTTACATACACTGTATTTAGTCCATTTTGATAACAGTATGTCTAATACAGTTTCCCAGTTGTTTTGTATGCGCGCTGCATGCATTTAATATTTCGTGGCTAATATTTGGCCAAGTCATTAACATGGTTTTATACATTGGCAATTCACCAACATAGGATGTTTATATGTTTAGTCATGTTTATATATATATTAATTCAATTCAAAATTGCTTTATTGGCATGACTCATATTACAAAAGTGCCAAAGCTTGGAATACATAGAATAATTATAAAGACATCAAAATAATAAAATATTATAACATAACTTAAATTTAAATTAGGGCTGTCGAAATGATTAATCGCGATTTATCGCATCCACAATAAAAGTTTGTGTTTACATAATTTATGTGGGTGCACTTTATACTTATTTTATATATATAATACACACACATGCTTGTATATATTTAAGAAAATTTTTATGTATATACTGTATATAGATTTTTATATAATTTTTATTATATATAAATATAATTATTTTATATATAAATAATATTTTTTTCTTAAATATACATGCATGTGTGTGTATTTATATATATATATACAAAATAATTATACACAGTGCACCCACATATATTATGTAAACACAAACTTTTATTTTGGATGTGATTAATCATTTGACAGCCCTAATTTAAATGTATTAAATTAATTGTACAAATTAACAGTGTATATATATATATTACGGGGATGACACACAACTTGCCACTGACATCTGGCCTAACATTGAAATGTGCAGTTGTATGTCAGTTGGTGTATTTGATTTGATATTGATCTGTGTATGTGGTGTTGTGACAGGTGTCATCTGCTGGACCTGCCCTGGGAGGATGTGTTAGTTACACACGTGTTCTGTTACCTGCCTCTGCGTCACCTGGTCAGCCTGCAGCGCGTCAGCAAGAGCTTTCGTTCCCTCATACACGTGTACCTGGCCAACTGCCGTAAGTTTGACCCTGCGCAGGTGAGGGAAACAGCTTTGATATGGATATTGTCCGTTCTCTGTTGTGCTGTATTTCATCAAACTTGCACACCATCCTTCCTGTGTTTCTCCTCAGACGGGGCCAAACATTCCCAAAGAAGCCTTCTGCTCCATCCTTCGCCACAATCAAGTTCTCCACCACCTCTGTGTCAGCAACTGCTCTGATTGGATCTCTGATAAAGAGCTTCTGCCTGTGATTGGTCAGAACCAGCACCTGCTGCGCGTGGACCTGCGTGGCTGTGTTCATCTGAGCCGTCACGCTCTGGTGGCGGTGTCTCTGAGCTGCCCGCGTCTCACACACCTGAGCCTGGCACACTGCGAGTGGGTGGACAGCCTGGCGCTGCGCAGTCTAGCGGATCACTGCTCGGACCTGCGCTCGCTGGACGTCACCGCCTGCCGACAGCTGAAGGACGAGGTCGTGTGTTACGTGGCGGGGAAGTGCCCGGCGCTGCGCTCGCTCTCAGTGGCGGTTAATGCCAACATCACGGACACGGCGGTCGAGGAAGTGGCCAAGAAGTGCAGAGAGCTGGAGGAGCTGGACCTCACCGGGTGCCTGCGGGTGCGAAACCAAGCCATCAGGTGTGTGTGTGTGTGTTTGTGCTGACAAGCAGACGGGTGCAGGAGTTTAAAGATCAGATTAGGGCTGCGTGATTTGGGGAAACAAATTTAATTGCTTTTTATTTATTTATTTCCCTGGAAAAAAAAACCTCCAGATCCTACTTGTTTGTAAGACTACACAATTCGGTCAAGAATATTGTGATTATAACAGTCTTATTTATATATGATCACAATATTTGGGCCAAATCGTCTTACAAACAAGCATTTTTTCCTTCTATATTTTTCTTAAATACTTGAGTTTCTTATTTTACAGGGAAATACTGAAATTGTAATATTTATTTTTTTGTTTAATATTTTTTTTAGTAATAATATTTTATTAATAATAGTAATAATAAATTCACAATAAATAGTAATAATTGTAACATTAGTAATAATATTAATACTAAATTTTACTTGTTTGTAAGTCTGCATGATTTGGCCCAAAATATTGTGATTTTATATATAAATATGATTATATAATAATAATAATAATAATATATATATATACAGTATTATGTATATTGTAGTATTGTATTGTATCGTATTAGTATTGTAGTAATACTAACATTTTTGGCTGTCTCTTAATTTCTTAATTTTATTTGATTTCTAACTTTTATTTTAGTGGACAAACTCAAGGACCCTTAAAGCTTCTCCGCTGTTGACAACAGCCGGTTTCTAAGTGCTTCGAGAATGATTGCGCATGTTTCGTTCCCAAATGCATAAGTGACTGAAAGTCAGAGCAAGCGGCGAGAGGAACTTCATGCTGAGCAGCATTTACTGTGAACGGAGACGCTACAAACACCGAATCATGAGCCGCTCATGTGGTGTAAATGAACACAGTACCGCGCTGCACGTTTCAGAGGGAATATTTATTTCATTAGCGATTTGATAATCACACTATATTGCGATTCCGGTGTTATATCGATTAATCTCTCAGCCCTCTCTGGTAAATCAGTAACAATATTTAGATGAGAGATTGTTTAGGGAAGTTTGCCTCATTATGCTGTCTGCATAGGCAGCGCACTACATTTCAAAAGCAGAGCCTATTAATAACTGTTTATTTGTGTGTTTAGGACGTTAGCCGAGTACTGCCCCAAACTGCGGTCGCTCAAAGTCAATCACTGTCACAACGTAACCGAGTCCAGTCTGGGTGTTCTGCGCCGGCGTAACGTGGAGATCGACGTGGAACCTCCCCTACAGAGGGCGCTAGTGCTTCTGCAGGACGTCGTGGGATTCGCTCCGTTTATTAACCTGCAGATTTAACACATCAGGAACATCCAGAAGAGGTGCGCAAAAAGACATGGAATCCAAGCTAACCTCATAATACATGCTTTTTGTGTGCATGATTAGTGCGAATTTCATATTTGTAGCCTTTCATCAATATGTAGTGTCTTTGCTTGTAATGTGTGAAATGTTTGTTTTGTTTTATAGGTCTTCTCTCATCTTACATGATCTTTCTCTGGATGCCTGACATTTGAAACAACACATTTGTACACCAATGCAATATCACAGAAGACACACCGCAAATCCACATCTCACGTGCTTGATTGTTTTAGTGTATTTTAGCATTTAAAAAGAAACACTACGATTTACTTGGTTTTCAGAATGGGGCTTGATCAAATCTGGTCTTTTATGAAAATCACCTTATTTATTGAAGCAGCTACGTTTTTCATGCACCAAATGTTGTATCATTTTGCACTTATGAAATACTGAAATATTTGCACTTTTTTCAGTACCTCTGAACATTCAGTCCTGGAGCATTATATTTCCTCAGCTTCATTAGACAGATCCTTCCTCAGAATCATCAAGTCATGTTTTACAGACGCATACTGATAGATTCAGAGCTCTGTGTTCATTTGATCCCTATTAATGTAATAGAAACGAATGGAAGAAGCTGGAAAATTAATATTGTTTCTGATTTACTTCATGGGTTCGCAGTGTTTGTTTGAATAAGACAAATCTTTTTGTATATTTTATCTGCACATATGTGCACTGAAATATTGATGTCAAATTAGACTATATGTTGCATTGATAATATTGAATCAAGACCCAGTTTGCAGAATTGAACATGTTTATAAAGTGTAGCTAGCTATCACAATGTGCTTATTTTTAATGTGGTCTTTTAGGACCTTTATATCTTGTGCTTTATTATGAGTATTTCAAGGAGTATCAAGATAACATGACAGCAATTTCTTGGATAATTAATTGTTCAACATTTTAACATCAAAATGGTATATGATTTTTGCACATGCACTGTGCTTTAATATGTTTTGCTATTGTATAATTCCATATGCGGTTGTAAATTATAAAGTGCATAAATGTTTTATGCAAATTGGTTAGAAAATATAAACACTTATGCAATATGAAGCAGCTTTGAAATATTATTTGCTCTTCACCTGGTAAGTTTGTGGTATTGTTTTAAACGTTTAACTTGAATTGACCACAAGAGGGCAGTGTAGTCTCTGCTGTCGGATTGATGGATCTGTGATTAATTGCAGAATGGAGTGGAAAATTGATTTGGCAAACGCTGGGTTTCTGTAATGCATGTGTTTTAAGTCTTTATTTATGGAGTTGAGTTATGGAGATTGCTGAGAAGTCAAGGTGTTTGACTTGACTTCCTGTACAGGTTCAATAAAAAGAGATGTAGCCTACTCTTGATTCTACACGGAAAATCTTGCTTGATAATTCAGGAACTACACAAGCCATTACTAGTCAAGCCTAGTCATTACTTAAAATACTGGTTCTCCACATGAATAGAGGGAAGGTTTGTGTCCTAATGACCTGAATTACAGAATTATTAGTCATATACCTTTATTATCCCTGTTGATCCCTGAAACTCAAACTGGTGCTGGATTGTGAAACTCCTTTTGTGTAGAAATCTGAATTAATTTGTATGCATCATCGGAAAGGCATCTATCGTTTTATTTTTTTATGTAGCATATTAATGTTAAAGTGCATGGAGAGAATAAAAACGGTTCATTTAAAATAAGAGAAAGGATAAATGAAAAGACAATGGAATTGTCTTATTTCACAATTATACAGCAGGACTGTGTGTGTGTGTGTGTTGTATTGGTGCACAGACAGGACAGAGATGAAATCAAATTGTGTGCCTTTCTCCTTAAAGAAAAAACAGTTTTCAGGTTTTGTGTGTCTCTTTGCAATTCGAGATCAGAAACAAATAGCTTATATCAGTAGTAGCCTAAATATCTCTTTAGCCTTTATTTTCTCGATTATTAAATTGGGATCACATCGGTTGTTTGCCTCTTGAGACTCGACCTGAAAAACTCGTCACACCTGTCATTAATTTCAGCACGCGAGCACTGAGCATGCGCGCTGCGTCTCACTGCCTACTACATAGAGCGAGCAGGTGGAATGGCATTTACCACGAAACAGGTGGTGAGAATGGGCGGGGCTTAGCGGACCTGACACTTACTCTAATTGGTCAGTAGTTTTACTCAAACTCAACGGAAAATATACGTCTTTATTTATAAAGAATATTAAGCAGATAACGAATTGTATACATGCAATTTCTTCTCTTTCTCTTATCTCCCTACCTGTTTATCTTTATATGTGTGATTTTTCCTTTTGTACGAATATTTTATTTTTCTCTTTAATGATCACGAGGTACCTGTTACTTTTTCCAACGCTGCTCAAAACAGACCAATCACAATCCACAATTGTGCATACAGGGTAAGTTCTATTGTAAAAATTTGTATACAGTAAAGGACAAAACTAGGACGAATTTCAATGTGCACGACAGGTAATATGTTTTAAAATTAATACTGTTTAGCATACCAACGTCTCCAATAATTTTGAACTAAATTTGAATGCAGCGCGAGGATTGAACTATATGAGCCACAACGCGCCCTCTGGAGGAGTGTCCTACTAAATGTAACAGGTAACAGCAGCGCTTCCCAGCTACCACGCGTAATGGTACTGCACTACTAGTAGGAGTAGTGTGGTAGAGCGTCATTGAGAACACAACTCGTGTCCTACCGGCGGGGCTGATGTCTGACTCTGTTAGTTAGAAACACTCTGTTCTCTGCTCTCCTCTTAATTCCCCCCCCCCCAAAACACGAATGCAAGACAGTGTCGAGGAGCTGTTCACTTCAGCACCGCCAGACAAACCCAGGCAGAGCCTCATGATGAAGATGATGATGCTGATGAAGATGATGATGCTGATGAGTGCATGCGGACTGCAGTAACACACACCAGCAGCAACAGCCCCGCATTCCTCCAGCTGAGCCTCCGGTAAGAGTTTCTCCTGTTTTCATGCGTGTCTGCTGGGTTTTATGTGGTCCTGATGCATTGGCATGCTGTTGCATTGCTGCATGCAGAAGCATTGCAGTCAGGCTTGGGGAAAATGTCCCATTCAAACATATGCTGGATCAGTGTTGATTTCAGAGATGTGGCCTTAGATTCCTTGAGCTAAAGGACATCGGACAGGGCAATTTGTAATGGTGAAATTAAAGCCTAAATTCCTGGTATATTCAGGATTTGGGGTTTTTATCTTTCTATAATACAATAATTTAGTAAGTTCTTGACTGAAACTGTTGGAATCAACCAGTTGATCATTTTAGGACGTTGAGGTCATGCTCTGCATCTCTATTAGAATGAATGATCTGATGTGGTTCGGTGCTGTTTTGATAAATGTGAGGCTAATCAATATCCTTTTCTTTCTTTCTGGTGTGCTACTGGTGTTTGGAAACAAATAAATACAAAACACTACATAAGTTTCTATGAAATTAGTTTTTGTGTGCTCGGTGAGTGCTGTTTAATATCAGATATGGCTGATAATATTGTTTGATGAGACGGTCCTAATGATGAGAAAATGAATGATGTAGCTATACATAACTGCGGACATCAAGTAAACTGTTATTTAACACATTTCCCCTCACATTTACTCTGATATATCAATCAAGCACATTAATTAGCCAATATTTGGCTCTCTTGAGATTATCTGACAACTGCACTGTATAAAATTGATTTTTCAAAGTTGTACATAAAACAAAGATTATTGAGTCTTTCCACTTTTTAATTCAATGTGTTACTTGCCATTTCTTTGTAATTATTTGTGCAATTTACTAGCAATTTCTGAGTGGAAATTTAATCACCCTGAACTAAAAGTTTTTCAGTGTGTACCAATTTGGCAAATGAATGCATAATAACAAGTTTCTTCCCAATTGTATAACTTTCTGGATTTACCAACAGCCTTGTCAGTGGGTCATAAACATGTATTTTAGAAAAGAATGAGTTTTGAGTGATGGTGTGTGTACATTACATTTGCTCTCATGGTCAAGTTGTATTGGCATTATATCGTCCTTCATGCAGCAATGTCGGCATTGAACATTAAGATATAAATCCAGTATGCAAAACTTACTGAGGACAAATGAGACTTGCAAGGTTTTGGTATACACAATAGTCACTTGTAATTCACTCAAAACATCAAGCAGAAGACGTTTATTACTACTCATTGACTCTTTGTGATTTGTGTATTGGCACAGACAGTAACTAACACTGATGCGATAACCTCAGATGTCTGTAAATTGCCTGAATAATCATATCACGAGTGCTGTTAAACGCGGTTGGGTCTCGTTCAGTCTCTGTCTGGTTTCGGCGGTTAGAGCAGATGCTGTCCTGAGAAAGATGTTTGACTCCTTCAGGATGATGAATTCTAGTGTCTGACACAAAAGCTGCAGGTGTACAAATGCCACGTCCTTTAGCACGCCGAGAGAAAGAGCGAGGACGCCAAGAAGAGATGACTGAGAAAGAGGAAATTGGGGGAATTATGAGTCATGCTTGTGTTGTCTGTCTGGGATGTTTTGTCTTCATCAGCTGATGTTTCATAGAGACAGCTTGAAGAACGACATGTTATCCTCTGTTTAATAAATCTCTCACTATTTGTTCTGTTTGACCTCTAAAACCCCTCACACGAGACGCTTGTGATGTTTGCTCCTTTTTATCATGACATGCTTATCATATTTTGTATCTTTAAGGTCAGTTTTGACTTCATTCGGGTGTAAAAGAGGTTTATTTGCTCCAGCTATTGGAATATAGATATTCGCATACCGTGACATGCATATTTTCTCCCCACTATTATCTGTTGGTATATTTGAGATGCATGCTATTGCATTGTTAGTCATTTTGCATAGTAATTTAATCAAATCATAATTTCCATTAAAGGCACACTATGTAAGATTTTTGGATTCAAATATACAAAAACTACTAGAACAATGTTATGTATTTTGTTGACGTGTGTACTTGCATTATCCCAAATGTTACCAAGAATGTTTAAATCCAGAGAAATCAGCTGTTTTAACCAAGACGATTTCCGGTGTTTTATTTTGTAGAAACCATGGAAACACCAAAGACGCTTTAATATAATATGTTTTAGACAGGTGAGCAACTGTATCCACATTAATCGACAGAAAATGAATCATTCTTATACAGCTCAACACAGTTAGTCTTTTTGTTTAAATCTTGTTTTCTTGATTTACAGCGAGTAACATGTTTTATGCCCAAGTTCGATCTCGCTCACTGCAGTGTGCAACAAGTGTCTCATAGTAGCCGCTAGTGATGTATGTCTCGAGACCGGTCTTGAGATCACTTTTACGTGGTCTCGGTCTTGTCACGGCCTTCTTTGGTCTTGGTCTTGTCTTGGTCTCGGACCTCTCGGTCTTGTCTAGGTCTCGCTGTCTCAGACCGACATAGTGGTCGGGGGATTGAGCAATACAATACTACAATATCCACGATGATATCCGCAACGGATTGAAGCGCGCGTCCGAGTGAAGACAGTGCGGTGTGCGCGAGCCACACGAGAAAACACCGTAACCGTATATATTTTTTTCCCCTCCAGTCTCGGTCTTGGTCTCGACTTGCTCTGTCTTGGTCTTGGTCTTGTCTTGGTCTCGGTTTAGGCGGTCTTGACTACAAGTCTAGTAGCCGCATATTAGCGAACGCACAGAGTAGCATTATAACATAACTTTCAATAAATAAATACCCATATATATGACGGGAAGAAGCGGAAGAGTTCGTCTGCGGTATAATAAAACTCCACTGCTCGTTTTCAATAAGAGACCTCTAGCGGGGAAAAATTACATAGTGTGCCTTTAATATCTTTAAAGCTGAAGTGTGCAATTTTTTTCCATTTGAAACATTTTCCCATTTTAAAGTAAACAATTTTTGGTTGAAAAGTGTTAATTTTGGCCTCGGGGCAGATTCAAATGGTTTTATTTGATTGTAAGACACAAGGAGTTTTATAGGAAGCCTGTTGAAGTAATTATTTTTGCTATTTTCTTTTGGTGGTGCTTATGACGCAGAATTACACACTTCAGCTTTTTTTTTTTTAAATAACAGACAAGTGTGCAATGAATTGCATCTTTTTACTTTTTATTCATCAAAGAATCCTGAAAAAAAAGTGTTACGGTTTCCACAATATTAGTAAAAACTGTTTTCAGCATTTCTTGAGCAGCAAATCATCATATTATACTGATTTCTGAAGGATCATGTGACTCTGAAGACTGGAGTAATGATGCTGAACATTCAGCTTTGATCACAGGAATAAATTACATTTTTTATTTGATCAAATAAATGTGCATTAGAGACTTCTTTCAGAAACATTTAAACAATCTTATACTGACCCCAAGATTTTTGAACAATAGTGTATATTTATTAGTTAGAATTTTTTTTATATGATATTGATATGCCAGGCAAATATTGAGCTATTTTGTAATATTCAGCTGAAAACATTCCTCATTTTGCCTTATTTATTAAGTGCTTTGTGTCCGTCATTTACCAACAGCCTTGATAATGGATACAGCAATTTTACATTCTTCAGTCATCTTGAGTAAATATAAAATAACTCTTCATTTATATTCAGCAAATCTTATTTGACATCATTGCGCACTATAAAGGTCATCCGCTACCTTGCTGTCTAGATCATTATCAACCATTAAAAAAGCATATCCTCTCTAGTTTGCATGAGCGAAAATTCAGATTAATACAGGCATATATCTGCTGTTTATTGTAGAAGCCGGATCATATTCGTCAGTTCTCTACACTGGCATCTTCTCCTCTCTTTCTCGTTCTGACTGTCCGATTAGTATTTTCTGTTATTATCTGTCGTTCTCTCGTGATGAGAGTCACTGAGAAACTCTTTCATCTCTCCGCCTGTTGCCCACTCATGCTTTCTCTTCCTACAATCTCTTTCTTCTTTACACCCTCAATAACCCTTCATACGTCTCCTTTCACACGCTCTTCTCTTTCTCCCACTCTCTCCATCTGTCCCTAAATGAAATGAACACAGTATTTCTTATGGATTCTGTAATTCAGCTCTGAAATGCTGTAGATGTGTACGTCATGATCAAATGAATGATATTTCAGAGATGCTTTGGCAGGCCAGCGTAATCGGCTAGCATTTCCATTCAAGTCAACTGAAGAAAAAAAGACTTGCATGTAGGACTTGCATGCATCTTGTTTCTGTTTTCAGACCACCTGATCTCAAGAAAACATGCCCTTTGCGTGCGTGTGTGTGTGTGTGCGTCTGTCTGTCTTAAGTTAGTTTAAGACCATTAGTGAGCTTGTTGCATGAAAATAATGCTACACTAATTTGATTCAGATTCAATTTAAGAGACCAATCTAGTTTGAAATGTGAGTCATTCTTAATGTTGTTTAATGCCTGAGATTGTCAAGGCGACCAGCCATTAACATCAACTGTATGATCCAGAACTCATTGACAAAAAGGGTTTGGAAATGGCCTTTGTCTGAGTATTATGCATAATGGCGTCCAGCTAAGTGGATAACTGTTCATTTGAGTATAGATGACGGTTGAACTGATTAGTGTGTGTATCATGAGGATTGAATTACAGTAATGTTGTTTATGTGTGTGTGTGTTCACGAGGTTGTAAAGGTGATGATTTAAGGGCTGTGCAATGTTGTCTAAAGGGAGAAGGAAGGTCAAGTAAGTGTTGTAGAGAGGTGAGTGAGTCTTGTCAAGAACATGTCCAGGTCATAGTTCCCCTCAGTGTGTGTGTGTGTGTGTGTGTGTGTGTGTGTAACAGACATTAATTATATAATTACATTTCTGATTATTATCAGTGTTGAAACCGAGATACATTATTTTCAGGATTATTTAATGCATAGAAAGTTCAAAAGAACAGGATTTACTGTCCCTGAAATAAAAATATTTTGTAACATTATAAATGTCATCTTTGATCACTTTAATGCATCCCTTGCTGAATAAAATGATTGAT